CCCCAGCATCTACTTGCTGTGCTCAGGCAATCCTTCCACCTCAGCTTTCCAAGTAACTGGAACTACAAGCGCATGCTACCACGCCTAGCTAATCTTTGGATTTATTGTAGAGATGAGGTCTCACCTAGTTGCCTAGGTTGTTCTCAAACCCATAGGTTCAGGCAGTCTCTTCACCTCAGCCTCCCAAAGTGCTGGGATTACAGGCTTGAGCCACCACGCCTGGCCTGCCATGAGCTTCTTATGTTTGTTCTTGTTGCTCTTTGTTTGTTAATTTGTTGGTTTCCTTTTGGGTTGGGGATGGATATATGGGGGTGTTTTCAATCTTTTTCCTGTATTCTTGGGAAAAGCGTAGTGGTACTTTTTATTTCTTTCTTCTGGGTCTAATACTTTCTTTAAGTATTTCTTGTAGAGCTGGTCTGGAGACTGTGTAAACTCTTAGGGATTGAATGGGAGGGATTTGAATTATCCATCGCCGATGAAACTTAGCAGGATAGAAAATTCTTGATTGGAATTGTTTATCTTTGAGAACTTTGAAGATTGGACTCTAGTCTCTTCTAGCCTGTAGTGTTTCTGTAGATAAGTCTGCTGCTTTTCTAATTGATCTTCCCTGGTAAGTAGTCTGACCTTTCTCTCCGCTGCCCTTAGGATTTTTTTTTTATACTTACTTAGTGTAAGTGAATTACTATGCATCTAGGAGTTGATCTTCTCATTTGATGTCTTGCAGTATCTCTTGTGTTTAAATGGTCAGGTCTCTGATGAAATGAGGGAAGTTTTCTTGGATAATTTCATGAAATGTTTGTTCCATGATGGTCTCTGGTTTTTTGTCTGCCTCAGGAATACCAATTAATCGTAGGTTTGGCCTTGATATAATCACTCATCTCTTGGAGGCTTTGTTCCATCTTTTTAAGCTTCTTTTCTATGTTTTTAACATTTTGAGTTAGTTCCATATTTTGGTCCTCAACTCTGAGATTCTTCTGCTTGGTTAATTCTGCTTTCCATGCTTGCCAGTTTGTTACTTATTTCGTTTACTGTATTCTTTATTGCCATCTCAGTTTTCAACTCCTTTATTCTTTCCTCTTGTCTCTCCTCATTTCTATTCATTCTTTCTAGTAATCTCTTGATATCTGGATTTTATGGTCTGAGACCAGTTGTTCTGGGGGCTCTTCATTGTTTGAGTTCCAAAATCTGTATTCTCAGATGCTGTCTTCCCAAGGGTCTATATGGGACCTGTGTTCTTCCTTTGATTCTTCATTTGTGATGGTTTTCTTTCCCCCTTTTACACTTCTTCTTTAACTCTGTTGCTCAGTGATAGGAGGGATAGCTTTCACTTAACTTTGCTCAGTCTCCTATTCTTCCTTATATAGGTCCTCTAGATTGTTCAGTTTTGAAGCCGGACTGGGAATGGGGGTGTGCTGTGCTTTTTGCAGTTTTGAGATCTGATTAAGGTGTGATGGGGGGGGAGCTGTGGTTTAGAAGCTATCTGCAGATCACAGAGTCTGCTGTGACCCCCTTGGCCCCACTTACCACCACCTTACAATCTGTCCATATGGTGGGGGCATATGTCTGCCCCCAAAAGCAAAATGAGGTAAGAAAAAGGAAAAGAACGGAAAAAGGAATAAGAGAGAAGAAAGGAAGAGAAAGAGAAGGGAAACAGGCACACCAACTAACGAATAAACAAAGAAACAAAAAGCCCCTGATGATGCACTTGCCTTCCAAAATGCCCATATACAAACAAGGAGACTAGAAAACACCAAAAAACAAAAACAAAGCAAAACAAAACAAAAAGTACTAAACCATAAACAAAAACAGAAAAAAAAAGAGTTCCCTCTGTTGCCATTTTTGGAACTCCAGGTTCCTTTCCCGAGGTCCTCCATGGCTTCTAGCTGCAGCTGTGGTAGGGAGTGGGCTTAGTCTCCAGCCCCTCCCCTCCGCTCTCAGCACAGGCCAGTCGGGTTGCTGTTAGTGTGGGTCACATGCCCCACTGGCTGCTGTGGGAGGAAAGTGAATCAGCTCCGGACTCACCTAGCTCACCCACTGCAGCTGCTACTGCTGACACCAAGTTCCCCACTCAAATCAGATGTGTCCTTGCCTGGTCCAGCATGGGAGTGAGGCGTCTGTCTCTCCGTGTTTGCTCCTGAGGTTTCCTCTCTGGTTCAGCGGTGGTCACCCCAGAGGGGTGCAGAGATTGCCTCTGGGTCCTAGTTTGGAGACTGAAGGTGGGTGGGCAACGCAGGTCTCTGCCCGTCTGGGAGGGAGAAAATGGCAGCGGTTGGTGTCTCCTTGCCGCCAGTGGGGCTCAGCACAGATTTCCTTGCTGTGCCCTCTCTACAGTTCCCACTGCTAGTGCCTGGCCTGCTGCTGCCGGTGGTGGCATGGACCAGTTGCCAGGCGCAGTGAGGAGCAGCTGATCTCCGCTGCCTCCTCCTGAGAAACTACTGAGAATAGCTGAAGATCCTGCATGCTGGGGACTCCAGGCTCAGGGCAGTGGTAGGTTGCAGCTGCCGCTGGAGGAGGGGCCCTTGCTTGATCCCAAGTCTCTGCACAGATGGACTTTTACTCGCTCAGCTGCACTCACCCACTCACACAGACTATCTTGATGGACACTCGTCCTTGCAGAGCCTTTCACACTCTTGCCATCTTGCCTCTCTCCTTCAATGTATACACACATTTTAAGAGATGTCATCTTTTTTTTTTTTTTTTTTT